GGAGGTGGAGGTTGCAGTGAGCCGAGATTGTGTCACTGCACTCCAACCTGGGTGGCAGAGCAAGACTCTGTTATGGGAAAAAAAAATTACTTTTCAATATAAGTGGAAAGGTTTTTTAATGTATTGCCCAAAGCTTATTGCAAATGTTTTCCTGAATCATTTAATGTGAATTCTAAGTAAAAAATAAATTAGCTATTTAACAGTCAATTCACAAGGGAAGAGGGAACTATAACCAAACTACTTCCCTGCTTTGTGACAAAAAAAAATTAGAATAATTAAAGAAAAAATTTCTTTTTTTTTTTGAGACGGAGTTTCACTCTTGTTACCCAGGCTGGAGTGCAATGGTGCAATCTCGGCTCACCGCAACCTCCGCCTCCTGGGTTCAGGCAATTCTCCTGCCTCAGCCTCCTGAGTAGCTGGGATTACAGGCACGCGCAACCATGCCCAGCTAATTTTTTGTATCTTTAGTAGAGACGGGGTTTCACCATTTTGACCAGGATGGTCTTGATCTCATGACCTCGTGATCCACCCGCCTCGGCCTCCCAAAGTGCTGGGATTACAGGCTTGAGTCACCGCACCTAGCCTAAAGAAAAAATTTCAAATGCTGGCCAACAAAAGTCCTAAGTCCGTGTACAAAACAACCAGATGTCATGGGAAAAGAATGCTATTAGGTACAGAGAAAAACCAGTAGTGAAGCATATGCACCAAAATGGAAATGCAGTAAATGACTGTGCGTGTTACATATTTTCATCAAAGAAATTCTGAAACTATCAAATAATATCATTTCCAGCCTAGCTGAGAAACTGAATATACTGATACTGATTATAGTATAATTTAGAGAATACTCATCATAGTACAATTTAAAGGAAGGCAGGACATAAAATCTGCTACTAGATGGCCTAAGCCAAATTTAAAACAAATATGCCAGAAGGTTGAAAGTGCCAGAACGAAACTAATAATTGTATACCTGGTATAGCAACTCAGGGGATGAAAGAAACAAAAATGCTAGGTACACAATTAAACCAGTGGAAATCAATGGTCCATAAAGGCATTCTACAGTACGGGTGTGGGGGCGTTCACTTGCATAGAACACTCAAGAGCCAGCATACCTGTGCCAAAATCCAGGGTTTGGCCCTTGGTTTCCTCTGTAGTAAACTGCGTTAACAAACTAAGTTAAATTCTGACAAATGGTAATTAGTGTATCCTACAATAGTCAATTATTTCCTGGACAAACAATACATTTTATATTCCACAATTTAAATATAATTAGAGAAGGGGGCAAACGAACTATAAGAACAAATTCATTCAGACATTTACTACAAGTCATAGTATTTAAGGTTGTGGATAAGGAAGATAAGGAAAACATGGATCTTCCTCTCACAGAGCTCACTGCTAACTACAGCTTGATAAGGAAAAAAAAACAAGATTCCGACCAAAGTTTTGAGAAAACAGATTTTCAAAATAAGAAAGAGTAAATGCAGATCATCTTAAAGTTTTTCTTCCAGGAAATTAGTCAATATTATTTACCAATACACCAAGCACTTTCCAAGCTTAGGATCACTATCGCTGACTTTCTGGTCACCTATCCTGGTTACCAGAAATAACGATGGGGCAGAGAGTCTGTATTACCACCTAAGCCACCTGGGACACTGCAGGGCATGCAAAGGCATCTTTCAGTTAGTAAATAAATTCAGTTGATGACTTTCAGATTTTCTTTTAGGAGCAGAATAACATCATTTATTAATATTTGCTTAAAGTTAAAAAATTCCTTATTTATGCTAACAGTTTTTTGAAAGTAATCCAAAGTAGCAAATGTAATTTTAAAATGCAAACTGAGTCTATAAAATTAACATAAAGATGTAATAACCTGAAGGTTGCCATTTTCAGGCTTTGAATGCTTTCTGTCCTACAAATGGAGAAGGAAAAGAGCAAGTGAGTACTCTAATGGTCTTGTCTTCTACTACAAATAGCAAAGTGCACGTATCTGACTTGCCTTCTTTTATCTTTAAATGCAGTTGCCGGTGAGTCTATGAAGCAAAAGAACACTAATGAAAACAACACCATTATTACTCAACTTTTTAATTATTCATAGAAGTACCCTGTTGACCCTATTCCTTCCTTATGTGTACCCATCAGTAAACAACCTCTAACATAGATGTTGACCTTCCACTATTTTTTTTTGAAACAGAGTTTTGCTCTTGTTGCATAGATTGGAGTCCAATGGCGCGATCTTGGCTCACTGCAACCTCTGCCTCCCAGATTCAAGCAATTCTCCTGTCTCGGCCTCCCAAGTAGCTGGGATTACAGGCATGCACCACCATGCCCAGCTAATTTTGTATTTTTAGTAGAGACAGGGTTTTTCCATGTTGGTTGAGCTGGTCTCGAACTCCTGACCTCAGGTGATTTGCCTGCCTCGACCTCCCAAAGTGCTTGGACTACAGGTGTGATCCACCATGCCCGGCCCACTATTTTTGAGTCTCTAAAGGCAGGAAATTATATTAAACTACATAGAAAGAAATACATGCTTAGGTTTCCATGGAACTTGAAAACAGATTTTACTGAAATATTTAAAATATTGTACAGCCTCGGCAACATAGTGAGACTTCCCCTCCACAAAAACCCCAGAAAACCTATAGCTATATTTGGCCAGGCACAGTGGCTCACATGTGTAATCCCAATACTTTGGAAGGTTGAGGTGGGAGGATCAACTGAAGCCAGGAGTTTGAGATTTGCCTGGACAACATAGCAAGACCCTATTGCTATTTAAAAAATAGGCTGGGTATGATAGCTCACACCTATAATCCCAGCACTTTGGGAGGTTGAGGCAGAAAGACTGCTTGACCCTAGGAGTTCAAGACCAGCCTGGGAAACAGAGGGAGACCCTGTCTCTGCAAATAATAACAAAATTAGTTGGGTGTGCTGGTGTGCAGTCACGGCTACTTGGGTTTCTGAGGTGGGAGAATCACCTGAGCCTGGGAGGTCAAGGTTGCAGTGAGCCATGACTGTGTCACTATACTCCAGGCTGGGCAACAGAATAGACCCTGTCTTAAAAAAATATATATATATTTAAAGATAAAAATATAATGTCATAGAAAACAAAGGTTTACTATTTGCAGAATTACATGAAAACTTTTGAAGTGGGGCAGAAGAAACATAACATAAAAAAAATAACTCTCACATGTCATGCTGCACTCTATGCTGCAATCAATGATACAAGGTCTCCAAGCAGGTATTTGTATTTTTGGCATCATAGGGTGTCTATGTGGGCCTGGATCTCATGAAAGGTTAGTTAAGCTTGAGGTAACATTATTCAAGTGCAAAAATAAATAAATACAGTAAAAACTCCAGGCACTAAGGGAACATGCTTTACTTACAGACAACCATAACGAATTATTAATATTTAAATTCCTGCCTATCAATAAAACTCTTAATGGGAAAGAGACAAAATCTTTTGGTTAACATAATAAACCAAAATGCAGTCATTTTAGAGTGCAGTACAGGCATGGACTCAGGGAAAAATGGCAAACCTTTGAAGGTCTTTTAGAACTAGAATATATTTTTGTTCAATTTAACTGCAAAGCAAGCTGCAGGGGAAAATCATGTAACAGAAAGGAAAACGATGAAGCACATCATGGCTTTAGCTGGAGAAGTCAAGCATTATTTTCACAAGTGCTCTTTCTAATACATAGGCAAAACACCTTTAGTCTGATCCTCTGATCTGTCACCAACATGGCTGACATCGTATCTATATTTCCATTGTGAGGCCCAGAAACAGCAGAGATAACAACAGGGACAATGAAGGGAAACACATCTCTGGAAATTGTTTGGACAGGAAGGGCTTTATTAATAAACTTCAGGAACAACTGAAGATAAAGAAGCAAAGTACCCAAGGGACTAAATGAAATAGAGTAGATGGGCATTCATACTGAACAAAAGCCAGGAAAATGAGGTGAAAGATATAAATGGAAAAAGCACACACAATTTCAGAGAGAAATACACATGCCGTCCCCCACACCAGAAAAAAAACAAAAATATTCATACTTTTCAAGTCTAATTGATATATAGATATTACCATGAAAAAAGCTGCAGTACATATTAACTGACAGAAAATTGAGAAATTTGTGTTGAATCATTATCTTCCATGTTTATTCTAAAAAGATTCTACACCTGAAGAAATACTGTCCCAAATCAACTAAAATAGCATTGAAAAAAATCTCAGATTAGGAAACAAAAAGAATAACCTAGTAAAATAAGTGCAACATTTGCTTTCTTTCTGAGACAGGGTCTTGCTCTGTTGCCCAGGCTGTATGTAGTGCAGTATCGTGAGCACAAGCTCACTGTAGCCTTGAACTCCTGGGGTCAAGCGATACTCCTGCCTCAGTCTCCCAAGTAACCAGGACTACAGGCACAGGCACTGTGCCTGGCTAATATTTTATTAGTTCGTGGAGGCTGGGTCTCACTATGTTACCCAAAATGGTCTTGAACTCCTGGGGTCAAGCAATCCTCTGCCTTGGCTTCCCAAAGTGCTGGGATGCAGGTGTGAGTCACTGTGACCAGCCAAAAGCAAGAATTCAATTAAGTTTTGGTTCCTGTTTTAAAGAACATATTTTTTAAACCTCTGGAGGTCAGGTGCGGTGACTCATTCCTATAATCCCAGCATTTTGGGAGGCAAAGGTGGGTGGATAACCAGAGGTCAGGAGTTCAAGATCAGCCTGACCAACATGGTGAAACCCCATCTCTACTAAAAATACAAAAATATACTGGGTATGGTGGCAAACGCCTGTAGTCCCAGATACTTGGGAGGCTGAGGCATAAGAATTGCTTGAACCTAGGAGGCGGAGGCTACCGTGAGCTAAGACTGTGATACTGCACTGCAGCCTTGGCAATGGAACCAGACCCTGTCTCTAAATAAATAAATAAATAACCCATGGGATTAAAACTATGTTACCAAGCTGCATAGAACTCTGAAAACAATTTGAAATGTTTTATTGCCAACTTACTTCAAAGAGATGCTGTAAAGGATTGGACTGCAGTTTTTCTTCATAGCCAAATAGTTGGAAGCCAGTTCCCAGAAGACCTACCATGATAATCCGTAAATAAAAATTATAAAGTTGAACAATAGAGAAATGGCATGACAGGGAACAGGCATAATTCCATAAAAAGAGCAACCTGGCCAGGCGCAGTGGCTCACCCCTGTAATCCCAACACTTTGGGAGGCCGAGGTGGGTGGATCACCTGAGGTCAGGAGTTCGAGACCAGCCTGACCAACATGGAGAAACCCCGTCTCTACCAAAAATATAAAAAAATTAGCTGCGCATGGTGGCACATGCCTGTAATCCCAGCTACCTGGGAGGCTGAGGCAGGAGAATGGCTTGAACCTGGGAGGTAGAGGTTGCAGTGAGCCGAGATCATGCCATTGCATTCCAGCCTGGGCAACAAGAGTGAAACTGTCTCAAGAAAAAAAAAAAAAAAAGAAAAAAGAAAAAAAGAGTAACCTGTCATAATCATGTATCCTGAGAACTATTTTTTTTTTTTCAGAGACGAGGTTTCGCCATGTTGGCCAGGCTGATCTCGAATTCCTGACCTCAGGTGATCCACCCACCTTAGCCTCCCAAAGTGCTAGGATTATACTGCGCCCAGCCATATCCTGAGAACTATTACAAAACACACTTTTACCTTCTATGACCCCATAAACTGACACAAATCAAATTCAGTATATTTAACCATGAATTCAACATACTGAATATAGATCACTGAAATTAAGCTCATAGAAACCAATAGGTTATGAGCACATCAAAGGCAGACTCTAGGACTAATTTATCTTTGTACTAACAGTGCTGAACACCTCCCTAGTAGATGTCAAAAACTAAACATTTATTAAGCAGCTACTCTGTTGAAGTGACATAATGTTATTCCCTAGGCACTCAAAATTTATTTTAAAAATTGATGGAAAGTGATTTCAAACTTTCTTTTTAAACCTGTAGGTATTAATGCAAAGACAGCAATGGTTTTGTGGTTATATTAGTTTTTAAACAAATAATTGGAGGAAAACAGCAAAAGGTAAAACTTGGAACATCCTTGATTATTTCTCAGGTTCAAGGTAGCCAAGCAACAAAATTCCTTAATTTGATTGTGTATAATTTTTTAGTCTTTGATGATAAATTCAGAGTTCAGGGATAGTGTTAATTTGAACCTATTAACAACAACAACAACAAAAAAAACAAAAACTAACTAAGGCTTGTAAACTATAAAATCAAATTCCCAGTACAGTCTGGGAGTATATAGACTCTTCAGGTATTCTGCACAAAGATAATTATAATTTCCATTTGAAAAAATACATGCAGCCTGGATCAAAAGCAGTATTAATTTTATTGGCCAGGCGCAGTGGCTCACGCCTATAAATCCCAGCACTTTGGGAGGCCGAGGCAGGGGGATCACAAGGTCATGAGATCGAGACCATCCTGGCCAACATGGTGAGACCCTGTCTCCACTAAAAATACAAAAATTAGCTGGGCATGGTGGCACATGCCTGTAATCCCAGCTACCTGGGAGGCTGAGGCAGGAGAATTGCTTGAACCAGGGAGTCGGAGGTTGCAGTGAGCCGAGATCACATCATTGCACTCCAACCTCACAACAGAGCAAGACTCCGTCTCAAAAAAAAAAAAAAAATTTACTGGCTAGACATGGTGGCTCATACCTGTACTCTCAGCACTTTGGAAGACCGAGGTGGGAGGATCACTTGAGGTCAGGAGTTCGAGACTAGCCTGGCCAACACGGTGAAACCCTGTCTCTACTAAAAATACAAAATTAGCTGGGCATATTGTTGCATGCCTGTGATCCCAGCTACTGAGGAGGTTGAAGCAGGATAATGACTTGAACCTGGGAGGCAGAGGTTGCAATGAGCTGAGATTGCACCACTGCATGCCAGCATGGGCGACAGAGTGAGACTCTGTCTTGGAAAGAAAAACAACAACAACAACAATTTACTTCTATAATTATATCAATTACCAAGATTCAGATCTAAAAGGGTTTACTGATATACATTTTTCTATACAAGGCTCAATAGTAAGTGGGATGTGACTGAACACAGGACACAGGAATATATAATACTTTGGAACTTAGGAACAGGAAGGATGATTTAAGCTCTATTCACTTTTAAGCAAGAGCAAATGTGATTACGATTCAGGTTATTGGGAGCAGAGTGTGGAAAGATGCCCAGTGTTCCAAAACACAAAAATGGGAAAAGGCCAATTCCATTTAACATTCAGCCTAATACATTTTCAAAACCTAATTCTGTGCTTAGAAACTGCCAACTTTCATATGGGGATCGCTGAAACAGCAAAATTATGACTCTTTACAATGATGATTATAATGGAAATGTTGACAGATCATTAACCATAGCAGTCCTTTAGAGAAAAAACTGCTATGAAATCCTGCAACTAAAATTTAATGAATACCCTATTCATATATTTGCTAATGCCTGTGAAATGTCTAAATCGGTCAAACTAATAAAAAGCAATGCCATCTATTAAATCTGACTGTTGAGCCTAGGGCCTAGGCCTCTGACTACCAGCTGTTGCGAAATACAGGTTGATTTTCTTTCTTTTTTTTTTTTTGAGACGGAGTTTCGCTCGTTACCCAGGCTGCAGTGCAATGGCGCGATCTCGGCTCACCACAACCTCTGCCTCCTGGGTTCAGGCAATTCTCCTGCCTCAGCCTCCTGAGCAGCTGGGATTACAGGCATGTGCCACCATGCCCAACTAATTTTTTGTCTTTTTAGTAGAGATGGGGTTTCACCATGTTGACTAGGATGGTCTCGATCTCTTGACCACCCGCCTCGGCCTCCCAAAGTGCTGGGATCACAGGCTTGAGCCACCGCGCCTGGCCAGGTTGATTTTTTTAAATGCAGGGCATGTATTCTGATTCTTCCACAGTGAATAGTAAGAGTACTGTTAACAGCTTCAAGGTCCTATTCTTCTTGGAGTGCCTCTTATGTGCCAAGCATTATAGATATAAAAGTAAGTCCACACCTTCAAGGAACATGCCTAGTAGGGTAGAGAAGCACACAAATAAGAATATAAGACAGGAGCCTTACCATATTTGAGTAGAGCTGGATACTAGGAAATTGGTAATGTGAGAAGATGGGCAAGGGTGTGTTTGTGTGTCAGAGAATGCTTTATAAAAGTGATACTAGAGCTGTTTCTTGAAATACACATGGGGTAACACAAGAGATTTTTTTAAGGTTTGTATTTCACATGTTACCCTGTTCTTCACTACCATAACAACTTCATTTATCTTGCCCTCTCATACCTTGATGACTGGTTTACATGAGTTAGGAATGGTTCTGAGTAAACTCATTATGTGGGAGATAATTTGTGGTACTTAACAGTCTGGATCTCGCTCCTCTCTTTTTCTCTTGAAGACTGGTTTACATGAGTTGGGAATGGTTCTGAGCAAACTCATAATATGAGAGATAATTTGTGATGCTTAACTGTTTGGTCTCCTCTCTTTTTCTCTTTTTCTTTTGGACTTTCTCCACCCCACTCCTACCCTTCACCATACAGTTAAAGGGGAAGCCAAAGTATTATTCTTTGTTTATCTTCTGGGCCACAGGCTATGATATAATAGTGGATCCTACTTCATGTAGGATTGCCCAGGGAAGCTGGATATCCTTAGATTTAAAAACGGCAAGGCTGTGGTTGAGAAGGGTATATACTCACTTCTATATTTAACTAATAAAAGCAGGCAATTTCTGTTTATTAAAACCACAAAAGCCCATATATCAGGTCTTACTCTGGATTTTTTTTTTTTTTTTTGAGACAGGGTCCTGCTCTGTCACCCACGCTGGAGTGCAGTGGTATGATCATAGCTCACTGCAGCCTTGACCTCCTGCGCTAACAAAATCCTCTTACCTCAGCCTTCTGAGTATCTAGGACTATAAGAGCATGCCACCATTTCTGGCTAATTTTTTTGTATTTTGTAAAGACAGGGTTTTGCCATGTCGCTCAGGCTGGCCTCCTACTCCTGGGCTCAAGTGATCCACCCGCCTCAGCCTCCCAAAGTGTTGGCATTACAGGAATGAAACATCATGCTTATCCCAGGTCTTCTCTGAATGTGTGAAGTTACCTTTCCCAAAGGTAACTTGTGTTGTGAGAATTACTCAAATAAATAGAAGATTTTATGCAAAAGAGCCATTAGGAAAAAAAAAAAGGTAGGACTTACTACTTCATCTAATGGGCTTCTGCCTATATTCTATACAGAAGATAAAAGTTTCTAAAAATTAAATTTTACAATGAAATGAAAAATAAAATCTCAAGGGTACTTACCAAACTGCATGCCCCAATCGCCAAGGTAATTTATTCTTATTACTTGATGTCCTAAAGCTTCTTTGAGATTTGCTATAAAATTTCCTAGTAATCAATAAAGTATATAGTTTCTCATTCTTGTTATCCATTTTTGACATAAGGACCATGTACTTCTCTATTATCCAAGCATTAAGTAGAAAATTCTTTTCAGAAAATTTACCAACTCAATGTTTTTTACTAGAATATTCATCATTGTGTTTTCATATATGTTATGGAAAGGGAGTAAGAAATTACTTGTAGAACAGTTATTCCAAAGAATCTCACAATTTTCACAGTAAAAGAACTTTCATTAACATTATTAATAGGAGTTGAGGACACATGTTAGAGTAACTGCTATTCTAGTCAATTCCAAGGACAGGAAAAAAAAATTGGCTGAGAGTGGCGGCTCACACCTGTAATCCCAGTACTTTGGGAGGCCGAGGTAGACAGATGACCTGAGGTCAACGTGGTAAAACCCTGGTCTCTACTAAAAATACAAAAGTTACCCAGATGTGGTGTCAGGCACCTGTAACCCCAGCTACTCAGGAGGCTGAGGCAGAAGTGCTTGAAACCAGGAGGCAGAGGTTGCAGTGAGCCAAGATCTCTCTACTGCACTCCAGCCTGGGTGACAAGAGCAAAACTCCATCTCAACAACAACAACAAAATCCTAGTAATTAACACAAAATATGTAATTTGTCTGTGCCCTAAGAACTGAAGCCTCACTGTTGTATTTTCCTTCTTTGTTTTCTAAATAGTTCATTCTATCTCCTTTTAACCACTAACATCTATCCTCTGCATGCCTGCTCCCTAACAGCAAGTGAATCTAAGGCCTTCACTTTCTCATACTGCTAATGCTGGTTTCACACTCAACATCGATTCTGCTTTCCTTCTTGTGTGCCCTCATCTATTGCCAAGGCTGAACCTAAAAAGTACAATTCCCAGAGTCTCTTGTGGTTAGAGTTCCAGAAGTCGTCTAGGTTTGGGCAATCAGATACAGTCTGTGTAAGATTTGGAAGGTGAGCGACTTCTATTTTAACAGCAAGCACAGTTGTGGAGGCTTTGCATTTTTGTGGCACCATGAACAGAGGTCCTAGTATTCTACGATGACCTCCAAAGAAATTAAAAGTATACGGGTCTGCCTTTTATGCCTAAAGTATTCTAGATGGTATGGCAGGAGTAGTGGCAGTTTCTTGACCATGGCAGTGGCAGCATGGTTCTAGAGCAGTGGAAGTGATTACAGAAGAGGCAGGAACTCCCTTGATGACACAGTTCTATGCTGCAGTTTTGGGAGTTATTTATGTCAGCTTACTCCAAAGCTTCTGCAGCCCTCCCAACAACTTTGTAAACCATTTGATATCCTATAATAAATCCCCACCTGCCTTTCCTAAGAATGGATTTAGTTTTTTGCAAATAACCCCTCATCAATACCCATCCCTGACTTAAACTACTGCAGCTATCTTCTTTTCCAGCTTCCCTACTTCTAGATTTTCCCAATCTATTAAGTCCCAGCAACTGGAAACCCAGTTTTTCCAGCTGGTACACAGACGGCATATTCCTATTTTTTTTCTTAGCCTCTTGCTATCTCACAAATCCAATTAAAAATCTGAATCTAGACTTCCGGAATTAGACTGCCTAATTTCAAATCCTGGCTACAATACTTTGGGATCTTGGGGAAGTTACTTTTGGTATCTGAATTTCTTCATCCATAAACCATAGTTAACAGCATTTATGAAACTCGGCTGTTATAAAATTGAATGATATAATACATGAAGGCACAGCATGGTAACTTCTCAAATTTTATGTCTAACTGGTCCAAATATTTCCCTCAACTTAGAAAACAACCTTATTATATGCTACCCATTATTTACTCACTCCTATACTTTTGACTTACTCACATAGCTTTTTTTATATTGTATATTTCTTATACTTTTTCATAGTCATTTCTTCTCTTAAAATGCTGCTCAAGAACAATGACAGCTGACCCCACAACAATCTATGCCACAAGTACTAATTTCTCCATTTCTGAAAAGCATTGAAATACAGGTTAAACGACTTTCTCTTAAGTATGCAATAGACAGATTTCTACATTGGAAGTGAAATTAGATTGAGATAAACTCTAAATTCCCTTCCAATTCTAATATTATATAATTTTAAGTTTTTAAATTGACCTGCTGCATGTCATCTGTTAAAAAAATAAAAACCACAAGTATATTACACATTGGAGCATTACAACAATAAAGTAATACGTAGTAATCTCTCTTTATTGAAATTATCTTTTATTCATTTATTTACTTTTTGAGATGAAATCTAGCTCTGTCACCTAGGCTGAAATGCAGTGGTGCAATCTCAGCTCAGACCTGAAATGATCTGCCTGCTTTAGCCTCCCAAAGTGTTGGGATTACAGGTGTGAACAACTGTGCCCAGCCAAAAATAGTCTTGTTTTAATTTCTAGTCTTGAACGTTCTATAAAGTGCTAACGTCTTAGCTGAATTTTTAAACAAAAATTGTGTTTTGTAATCTTGACAAAAATTGTTAATGTATTTTATATAAACAAAATATACGAATAGGCCGTGCAAGGTTGCTCATGCCTGTAATCCCAGTACATTGGGAGGCAGAGGTGGGTAGATCACTTGAGGTCAGGAGTTCAAGACCAGCCTGGCCAACATGGTAAAACCCTATCTCTACTTCAAAATACAAAAATTGGTCGGGCACGGTGCCTCACGCCTGTAATCGCAGCACTTAGGGAGGCCGAGGCGGGTGGATCACAAGGTCAAGAGATCGAGACCATCCTGGTCAACATGGTGAAACCCCGTCACTACTAAAAATACAAAAAATTAGCTGGGCATGGTGGCGTGTGCCTGTAATCCCAGCTACTCAGGAGGCTGAGGCAGGAGAATTGCCTGAACCCAGGAGGCGGAGGTTGTGGTGAGCCAAGATCACGCCATTGCACTCCAGCCTGGGTAACAAGAGCGAAACTCCATCTCAAAAAAAATACAAAAATTAGCCAGGTGTGGTGACTCACGCCTGTAATCCCAGCTACTCCAGAGGCTGAGGCAGCAGAATCTTTGAACCCGGGAAGCAGAGGTTGCAGTGAGGAGAGACTGCATCACTGCACTCCAGCTTGGGCAACAAAAAAAAAAATATTAAAAAATTTGAAGGGTTATACATCCCACATAATGATTTTTACTTTTGCATCTTTCAGGCCTTCTCCATATTTATACTTATTTTTAGAAAGTTAAAATCATAACATAAATAAAAGTTAAAATTAGTTTTTCAGTGAATTGGTTTTGAAATGAATTTCATGTTTCCATTGTTATTAACCAATTTTGCCCATTTCATGTAATATTTAATTAGCACAAGGCTCAAATAAATTTAAACTTTGTTTTTTGTCCTTTTGTTATTTAAGCATTAAACCATTAAACTGAACTATCAAATACTTCCTTAAAGCCACGTTTAGGATTTTCTGTGAAACAAAACACTTACCTATGATCGTAGAACGCAAATGTCCAACATGAAATTTTTTAGCAACATTAGGTGAACTGCCAAAAAAAAAAAATGGCAAAAGTTATTTCTCTGTTCTAAGAATTAAGACTTCTAAGAATCAACTAGGTCATGCCTCCATACTTTGACAAAACTGAGGAGTATGGCCTTTGGTAATTTAGGGCAAAGATAAGTTAAAAATTAAAAATTTAGGGCAAAGATAATTAAAAAATTAAAAATTTAGAGCAAAGATAAATTAGAACTCAAAATTTTGACATTATCTTAGTGAAATTGAACCTGTGACTCCTGAAGTAATAGCATTCATGTAAGTGGCATACTTAGGAAGTGGATACATTTAAGGATTGACAAACCAACACAGATTACTGGGAATTAAGTTTAGTGCAAACCCTTTATCCTCTTAAAAATCACTGAGGACCCCAAAGAAATATTTTTCATATGGGTAATGTCTGCTAGTATTTACTGTATCAGAAATCACAATTTTAACATGTAAAAATACCCCCAGTACAATGGCTTACACCTGTAATCTCAGCACTTTGAGAGGCTGAGGTGGGAAGACTGCTTGAGACTAGCCTGGGCAAGACACTGTCTCCACAAAAATTTTTTAAAAAATTAGTCAGGTGGCTGGGTGTGGTGGCTCATGCCTGTAATCCCAGCACTTTGAGAGGCCAAGGCAGATGGATCACTTGAGGCCAGGAGTTCTAGATGAGCCTGGCCAACATGGTGAAACCCCAATTCTACTAAAAAATACAAAAAATTAGCCGGGCATGGTGGTGCATGCCTGTAATCCCAGCTATTTGGGAGGCTGAGGCAGGAGAATGGCTTGAACCTGGGAGGCAGAGGTTGCAGTGAGCCGATTGTGCCATTGCACTGGGTGACAAGAGTGAAACTCCATCTCAAAAAAAACAACAAAAGAAACCCTAGAAAAAATTAGTTGGGTGTAATGGTACATGCTTGTAGTACTAGCTACTCAGAAGGCTGAAGCAGAAGGGTAGCTTGGGCCCTGGAGTTCAAAGTTATAGTGAACTATGATGACTGCACTTCAGCCTGGGCGACAGAGTGAGAAAAATAATTAAAAAAAAGAACATGTAAAATATTTATGCCTCAAAGCTCCCAGAACAATCAGAATGTGATTCAACACTCCAAACTCTCAATCAACACATTTATCATTCCTGTGTGTGCTGGAGAAGTTGAAATCAGTCATTTAACACAGCAAATCCTTCTAGAGCACTCACTATCTGACAGGCACAGCTTCACACACTTCATGTGCATTAATTCATTTAATACTCCTAAGTGCTGTGAGGTAAGGTACTCTTTTTATTTTACAGTGGGACAATGAAGAAAGATGATGTAGCAAATGTGGCAATATCATGATGACTCTTGAATATGAGAAACAAATATATGAGGGTTAATTATACTGTTCCCTGTCTTGTGCATGTTTGAGAACTTCCTAAGTTTTTCAACATTTAAAAAAATCATAAATCAACTTGAACATAGCTTGTTATATACCCTTAAGAGTACTATGATTTAAAAACGTGATCCTGTGGATATGTGTGCACAATTATAAAATTATGAAACTACACAGGTATTTAATCATTGTTTAGAAAGAAAATGTCCTAAAAGCTTAAAAAAAATATTCTATTTCCAGACAAAAGATGATTAAATTTACTCTTCTGCTTTTAAATAATCAGAAAACCAGAAGAATAGATGAAACACTGGTTTTATGAAACTGGTCAATAGGCAGTGAAGCACTGTGAAGTCTGAGAATAAGAGCAAACAAGGGGAGGCTGAATGCTGCAACACATTGTTGCTTTACTAGTAAATTTGCTGGATGTAGCTAAAGCAGAAAAATCAACAACATGAAATGTTTATATTAGAAAAGAGGTTTTGAATCAATCTGAGCTTCTCCTTTAAGAAACTAGAGGACAGGATCCAAGATGGCGGTTTAGGAGCAGCTCAGGACTGCAGCTCCCAGTGAATGCGCAGAGGGTGAGTGGACGCCACATTTCCAGATGGATATTTATTGCCCACAGACCAGGCGATTCCCAGGCGGAGGAGCCCCACGGGTCACCAGTGTGGCTATTTTGGCCAACGCGGCAGTTCTCCATACAAAATACACTGGTCTGGTTGCCCTTTTAAGCTGGCAATTGGAGCGCCAGGAAGGCAGAGATGCCCACTCATCTGATGAAACACGGGACAGAAACAGGGAACAAGGCCAGGAGATTCCCGGGCAGTGCCGTTGTTTCAGCTGGTGCAGTGGGTTGCAGCACGGGAAATCACACAGATCCCAGTGCCTTTTCAACTGGCGACTGGAAGACCTGGGAGAGAGTCAACCGTTCAACTTAAAAAAAAAAAGGCTCTGAGGCAGGGAGCCAGGTGTTTTTTTGGGAGCCACTCCCCCCTCAAAAAAACAGCAATTGGAAATGCCCTGGGTTGAGAGTTTCACGGCAAGCACAGCTGAACCCAGGACGGTCCAGCTCTGTGGGATGGGGCGTCCACCATTACCAAGGCACTCCACCCCTACGGAGGTGGTCCGCCATTGCTGAGGCAGCCCGCCATTGCCGAGGTAACCCGCCACTACAGAGAAAGTCTGCCATTACAGAGGTGGGCCAACATTGCCAAGGCAGTTCTAACCACACCCATATAAACAGGACTGCAGGGAAGTTTACACTGCAGTAGGGCAGAGCCCACAGCAGCTCACCAAAGCCTCTGCAGGCAGACAGTGACTAGACTGCCTCCTTGCTGGGCAGAGCAGCCCTGAAAAAAAAAGGCAGCAGCACAACGGAAACTGATAAATAAAGCCCTAAATCCCTGGGACAGAGCACCTGGGGGGGAAAAAAAAGGAGTTTATAAGTTCTGTTGCAGCAGACTTAAATGTACCTGCCAGCAGCTCTGAACAACAGAGCTCATAGCTCAGCACTCCTATAAACCAGACTGTCTCCTTAAGCAGCTCCCTGGCCCGTGTATATCCAAAGAGTCATCTCACAAAGGACTGATTAGACTGACATTTGGTGGGCATCATTCTGGGACAAAGATAGCAGAATAAGAAACTGGTAGATACCCTTACTGTTCTGCAGTTGCTGCAGGTGATCCCCAGGCAAGCAGAGCCTGGAGTAGACCTCAGCAGTCCTACAGCAAAGAAGCCAGACTGTTAGAAGGAAAAATAAGAAAAAGAAATAACTTCATCATCAACTGGACGTCCACTCAGAGACCCAATCTGAAAATCACCAACTACAAAGACAACAGGTGGATAAATCCACAAAGATGGGAACAAACGAGCACAAAAAGGAGGAAAACACCTGAAACCAGAATACCTCTCCTCCTACAAGGGATCACAACTCCTCACCAGCAAGGGAACAAAGCTGGATGGAGATAAGTGTGATGAAATGACAGAATCAGACTTCAGAAGGTAGGTAATGAGAAACTTCTGAGCTAAAAGAACATGTTCTAACCCAATGCAAAGAAACTAAGAATCTTGAAAAAAGATTTGATGAAATGCTAACGAGAATGGACAACTTAGAGAGGAGTATGAGAGAATTAATGGAGCTGAAAAACAAAACATGAGAACTTCGCAAAGCATGCACAAGTTTCAACAGCCAAATTGACCAAGCAGAAGAAAGGATATCAGAGGTCGAGGATCAACTCAATGAAATAAAACGAGAAGGCAAGATTAGAAAAAAAGCGTAAAAAAAATGAACAAAGTCTCCAAGATATATGGGACTATGTGAAAAGACCTAATCTACGTTTCACAGGTGTACCTGAATGTGATGAAGAGAATGAATCCAAGTTGGAAAGTACTCTTCAGGATATTATCCAGGAAAACTTCCCCAACCTAGCAAGGCAGGCCAATTTTCAAGTCCAGGAAATACAGAGAACACCACAAAGATACTACTCAAGAAGAGCAACCCCAAGGCACATAACTGTCAGATTCACCAGGGTTGAAATGAAGAAGAAAATGCTAGGGGCAGCCAGAGAGAAAGGTCGGGTTACCCACAAAGGGAAGCCCATCAGACTCACAGCAGATCTCTTGGCAGAAACCCTACAAGCCAGAAGAGAGTGGGGGCCGATATTCAACATCCTTAAAGAAAAGAACTTTCAACCCAGAATTTCATATCCAGCCAAACTAAGCTTCATAAATGAAGGAAAAATAAAATCCTTTGTGAACAAGCAAGTACTCAGAGATTTTGTCACCACCAGGCCTGCTTTACAAGAGCTCCTGAAAGAGGCACTACACATACAAAGAAAAAACCAACCACTCCAAAAACATACCAAATGGTAAAGAGAATCAAGAAAATGAAGACTCTGTATCAACTAATGGACAAAACAGCCAGCTAGCATCAAAATGGAAGGATCAAATTCACACATAACAATATTAATCTTAAATGTAAATGGACTAAATGCCCCAATCAAAAGACACAGACTGGCAAATTGGATAAAAAGCCAAAACCCATCGGTGTGCTCTATCCAGGAAACCCATCTCACAGGCAAGGATACACAAAGGCTCAAAATAAAGGGATGGAGGAAGATTTACCAAGCAAACGGAGAGCAAAAAAAAAGCAGGAGTTGCAATTCTCGCCTCTGATAAAATAGACTTTAAAGCAACAAAGACCAAAAGAGACAAAGAAGGACATTACATAATGGTAAAAGGATCAATGCAACAAGAAGAGCTAACGATCCTAAATATATACGCACCAAATACAGGAGCACCCAGATATATAAGGCAAGTTCTTAATGACTTACAAAGAGACTTAGACTCCCACACAATCATAGGGGGAGACTTTAACACCCCATTGTCAATATTAGACAGATCAACCAGACAGAAAATTAACAAGGATATCCAGGACTTGAACTCAGACCTGGAACAAGCAAACCTAATAGACATTTACAGAACTCTCCATCCCAAATCCACAGAATATACATTCTTCTCAGCACTACATCACACCTACTCTAAAACTGACCACATAATTGGAAGTAAATCACTCCTCAGCAAATGCAAAAGAACGAAAATCAAAACAGTCTCTCAGACCACAGGGCAATCAAG